TGCGTGCCCAAGATCCCGAGAGGAGAATGGAGGAGAAGGGATTGCGGCGTGACCATACCCCCTGGGGAGTGATTTCTCGCTTTCTGTCTCTATGTCTCTCTCTGTCTGTCTGGCGAGCACACGCGCCCTACAGTAAAAATCTCTCCAAAAAAAAAAAAAAAGGTATTATTATTAAATTATCAATAAATCACAAAAACAATCCACAAAAAACTTCAAATTTTCCTATGACCAAGGTGTCACAGGATACTATTTTTAAAAGGGTGTATAAATTATTAAATTATCAATAAATCACAAAAACAATCCACAAAAAACTTCAAATTTTCCTATGACCAAGGTGTCACAGGATACTATTTTTAAAAGGGTGTATAACATCTTAACATGGATAATAGTTACCAAATCTTCTTTTTCCAATCTTTTATTTTCAATAATAACAATAATTTAATAAACATGTCACAAATACAACATGGTAATTCTGAATGCCTTATTTATTTATTTATTTTTGAGAAATTTGCTATAAGACACGTGCATTCGTAGGAGAGACAGAAAGTGAGAAATCATCCCTCGGGGGAAATGGCCACACCAGAATCCCTTTTGGGATCTTGGTTATACATTCACACATGGTCAGTCTGAGGTTTAAGTCACTGGGTCCAGGACTTGAACCACAGTGGACTACATGGGAGTGCAGTGACATAACCATTACACCATCTGCTGGTCCCTGAATGTCTTTATCTTAAAGCAATCATCACAGCTTTCTCAGGTATATTCTAATATAGATGAGGAGGGGTAAGGATTGAGTGAACATATTTTAGTTTTCACTATAAAACCCATAGTGATGTGATTACTGAGGCTGATCTACACAACTACAAAAAACATACTAAGTTGGCAGTTTAAAGAGGACTTTTTTCTACTTGTTAATTTAATGCCAACAGTAACTGGGACACACACTACTGAGAAATCTAAGTGCAAAATGCTGGTATTCAGTACAATGGTGAGATGCAATGTGTCAGAAGAAGAAGATATAGATTGTAGGAACTAACGTATAATAAATGTATTTTAAGCTTGGCCCATTCGTTTTACAAATGCAAGTTATTCATTGTCACAAATATGGTTTAATATTTAGCTGTAAATAAGTTAACATTCATGAATCTTTCATAGACCTGATGACCAAAAACAATCAACAAACAAGATATGTTTAAATAACCAAAATATTGATTTCTAAAGAGATTTGGAAGAAAAAGAAACACTAGTTGCCATTAGTGTTAATAGAGTTTTTGCAATAAGAAAAAAAAAAAAAACTTTTACATTTGCTATAGGTGTGTGTACTCACCAGAGAGAAAGAGAGTGGGGGGAGCATGAGAGAGCAGTCCCCCTGGGGGATGGCCATGCCACAATCCATTCTCCTCCATTATCCTCTTGGGATTTTGAACATGTATGCACATATGCCAGGTGTGTTTTTCAAGCTACCAGATCTGGGACTCTTACCATGCACTTAGCCACTTAGCCATGTGGGATCCAGCCACCTTAACCACCACATTACTGGTGGCTCAGAAAATGTTTTTAAAAAATTATTCAAGGGCTGGCCCTATAGCACAGAGGCTAAACATTGGACTGGGAACCAGATCACACATGGCTGACCACAGTTTAAATCTCAGACCCCATGGTTTAATAAATATTGTAGGCACATGTGCGTACATGCCTAAAATCTCCACAAAATGAAGAAATGGAGAAAAAGAATTGTGGGGTGATCATGCCCCATTGTAGGGGGCTTCCTCTCACATACACATGCCTTCTAGC